AAAAACTCCCTCCTGCCAGGCCCCTCTCTCTTGCTCTTGCTCTCTCTGTCTCCCTCTCTTGCTCTTGCTGTTGCTCTCTCTTTCTTCTCTGGCTTCTCTCTCTCTCTCTCTCCCCCTCCCCCACTCTATTTTTCTCCTCTTTTGCACTGCTGCAATAAAGATCTCTTGGTCACTCCGAATGTTGTGGTCACTTTCCTTTCAGAGGGGAAAAGTGTCCTGGTAGAAGACAAAGAAAGTGAAAGGATCCCGAGGTAAGAGAAAAGAAATGTGGCTGGAAAGCACTATATATACAGAGTGGTCAGACATGAAGTCGGGCATGTCTGATCAAGTGCAAGGTCAAGTGAATGGCAGGGGCCAGATCACGTGGGGCCTTGCTAAAGACTTCTGATTACATACTTTATGATATAGGAACCCCCTCTGGAGGGTTGAGAGCAACACAGCTGCATGTAATCCACCTTTCTAAGGAACTCCTGAGACCAATGTAAGTACAGTGAATTGGAGGGTGAGCAGGAGTGGAAGCAAGAGTCCAGCTACAGTGGGTTTGGCAAGCGATGATGACATTTTAGATGTTAAGAAACAGAGCCCCAGCGGCTCAGGAGGCTGAGGCAGGAGGATCAAAAGTTCAAAGCCAGCCTCAGCAATTTGTCAAGGCCCTAAACAACCTAGAGAGACCCTGTCTCTAAATAAAAAAATAAAAATAAAAAGGACTTGGGACTTGGCTTGATGGTTAAGCACCTTGGATTCAATCCCCAGGACAAAAAAAGAAAAAGAAATAGAATCAGAATATAACTCAAAGTTAGGATTTGCTAACGGTTTGGAGGCAGGGGATAAGAAAAAAAGTGGGTCAAAGTTTTAGAAACATTAAATTTTGTGTGCCTAATAGATATTCAAAAGCAGGAATACTGAATAGATAATTGGTTAGAAAACTCTGGATTTCAGAGGAGAAACTGAGGCTAGAGATAATCTGTGAAGTTACCAGAACATAATTAAGGTTATGGAACTAATGACATCACCCAGAGAATAAGGAAAGTTCTAGAAGAATCTGAGTGGAGTTAGTCATCAGTCATCAGCCCAAAGACTGGGAATTCAGTAAAAAAAACTGAGTCAGGAACAATCCATGAGGTAGGAGAATGGTGGTGCTGGTATCCCAGGAGAGAATCAGAAAGAGTTCTAAGGCAAGGCAAGTGCCAAACGAGGCTGGTGAGGATGAAGAAGAAGTCTTTGGCTCTGGCCAGGCAGAGGTCATTGTGACTTCATTAAAAGTAACTTTAGGAAGCAGAGGGGATGAAAGCTTAATTTAAGCTGGGCACAGAGGCACACAACTGTAGTCCCACTGACTTGGGAGGCTAAGGCAGGTTCAAAGCCAGCCTCAGCAACTTAGGGAGACCTTGCCTCAAAAGAAAAAATAAAAAGGGCAGGGATATAGCTCACTGGTAAAGTGCCCTTGAATTCAACCCCCAGGACTGGGGAAAAATAATAGAATTTAGAAAGTTTAATTTAAGTGGCCCTCAAGGAAATGGAAAAAGAGGATGTGGAGATAATAACTACAGGCAATTATTTTGAGTAATTTTTTTTCCTGTAAAGAAATAGAGTGGTACCTGGAGTGGGTACGTGGAAGGGGTGTGTGTCTTTGTGTGTGTGTGTGTGTGTGTGTGTTTACCTTTTATTTGGTTTTCTTCCATGTTGGGGATCAAACCCAGCACTAGGTATCTGCTAGGCAAGTGCTTAACCACTAAGCTATATCGCCAGTTCCTGTTTCTTTTCTTTCTTTTAATAGTTATTGTGCTGATGGAAAAAAAGAGAATATAGTGATGCAGGATAGAAAGGGGCTAATTTTAGAAGCAAAGAACCTAAAGAAGTTAAATAGGACAAGATCCAACATATGGAATGAGGGAATGGCCTTTAATAGATGAGAGGACAATTCATCCATGATTAACAGGAGAAAAGGTAGATTATGTGTATAGGTGCTGGTAGTTTAGTAGATTGCAAGGTGAAAAGATATGGTGATTTCTCCTGTTCTCAATGGGTAAAACAACAACAACTGAAAGCCCATTTGAAGTTCAAGGTCATGAATTTAAAGATCAGTCCACATACTATTTGCCTTTCTCTTGTCTTGGTCTGTTTTATAAGTATAGGCAAGAGTTAAATTTAACCAGGCACAAATGACAGATGAGAGACAGTTGAGGGAGTTAAGGACACCTACAAGTGGGTGACTGAGTTGCCAAACCACAGAAGATGAGTAAGGAGAGACAAAAGAATGCAAGGTAGTGATAAAGATTAGTAGAATCAGCTGGGCACCGCACATGCCTGTAATCCCAGAGGCTCCGGAGGCTGAGGCAGGAGGATCGCAAATTCAAAGCCAGCCTCAGCAACCGCAAGACACTAAGCAACACAGTGAAGCACCATCTCTAAATAAAAGAAAAAATAGGGCTGGGGATATGCCTCAGTGGTCGAGTGCCCCTGAGTTCAATCCCCAGTACTAAAAAAAAATGGATTATTAGAATCAATGGGTCATACTTCCAACCATCAATGGGTCAGACCTCCAACCACTGAGCAGGAAAGATAGGACATGGTTAGAGATCAGAGTGCTCATGATAGAGATTCAGGAAATGGAACAGCAATTGACAAGGGATAGAGTGGGGGGTGTCTGAGATGGGGAGAGAAACCAGATCATTCCACGTGAGGATGTCAAGGGATGTTGAGATTTTGGGAGGAGCCAAGTGGATCATCCATGGGGTTACTGAATCTCCAGGTGCAATGGCAGGGGTGGCAGTAAACCAGAGCAGTTTCAGTGAAGTAGAGGAGAAAGAGGCCCAACCAGGTGACAGCTGAGGAGAGAATGAGAGGTGAGGAAATGGAGTCATTGAGCACAGACAACTCTTTTTGACAAGTTCTGCAGTGAAGAACAGAAAAATGGTGGTGACGGTGGGGGAGAAAAGGTCTGAGAAAGACATAGGATCAAGAGTTATTTCAAGATAAGAGATTCTACAGTACTTGTGTATGTTCATAGGACAGATTCATTAGAAAGGGACAAAGTAGTTCTGCAGGGAGAGGGGATAACAGTAGGAACAAAGTTCTTCAGGAGACAATAGTGGAATCTAAAGCACAAATAAAGGATTTTGTTTTTCATAAAACAAGGCACAAAGCTGATGTGGTGGCACATGCCTGTAATCTCAGCAGCTCAGGAGGCCAAGACAGGAGGATCACTAGTTTGAGGTCAGCCTCAGCAATTTAGGGAGACACTGTCTCAAAATAAATAAATAAATAAATACAAGAAAAAGGACTGAGATGTTGCTCAGTGGTAAAGCACACTTGGGTTCAATCCCTAGCACCAAAACAAACAACAAACAAAAGGTATACATCTTCCCAGCAAAAAAAAAAAAAAAAAGAAAGAAAAGAAAAAACAGAATCCACGAATCAGATGTGGGTAAGGCAATAGATTAATGATAAGAAAATAAGGTCATGATTGATTGCTTCTATTTTCTTGATAAAATTTGAGGCAAAGTCTGTAGCTGGATGAGGGTCAAAGGTGTGAAGGTCAGAGGAGATAAAGAAGGTATTTATTCATCATCTCAGAGACTGGGAAAACTAACCTACTAGGCAAATTGAGTTTGCTAGGAAGTACCACATTACCAGTTGTGATTTGTGGTGATGCAATTAAAATAAAACCATCAGCCTAATTGTACAATTTGTATAGCAAGAGTAACTGCTAGGTGTAGGAAGAAAGTAGATGGATGGCTAGGTTTAACCAGGGTTGAGATTTGGGGCAGAAAAATGGCAGTTAGCAGGAGAGCCAATGGAGTGGCGGAAGAGTTGCAAGAGCAACCGCAATGATGGACCATGGAATTGAGGCTGGGTAAGGAGGAATCAGTGAGAACAGGGGATAAAAACTGGTTAGTCAGCTGGGCATGAGGGTTCACACCCGCAATCCCAATGGCTTGAGAGGCTGAACCAGAAGGATCACAAGTTCAAGGAAGCCTTAGCAATTTAGGAAGATTCTAAGCAACTTCATGAGACTCTGTCTAAAAATATTTATTTGCACCTCTTGCATGCAAATAAAAAGGGCTGGGGATATAGCTCAGTGGTAAATTGTCCCTGGGTTAAATCCCCAGTGTCTCCCTGACCAACCCCAGCAAACAAACAAACAAACAATAACAACAAAAAAAAAAATTGGTCAGTCAAGGGACTGGAGGTCCCATATGGATAAGAAAATTATTTGGGGTTGGATCATTAGTGAAAGGTCATGACTGAACTGATGTAGTCAGAGCAAGGATGGGGTGGGAGATCAGTACTGGGGATTGAATCCAGAGGCCCTCTATCATAGAATCACATCCCCAGCCCTTTTTATTTTATTTTAAACAGAATCTCACTGTTGCTGAGGCTGGCTTCCAATATGCCATCATCCTGCCTCAGCCCTCTGAGATGCTGGGATTATAAGCATGCACAACAAAGCCAGCTCCTGATCAAGGATGTTTATCCCAAGTCCCATCAGCTCCAATACCATTTGAACTTGGGGAAGAGTGAAAAGATAGTGGGCACTTAGGTGCACTCTGGGAATATTTGCTCCAAGAATGCCTCCTCACTGGCAGCATGTGCCAAACACTGACAAAAATATCCTGTCTTCCAAGGTCCCTACCATTAGTTGTACAGTAACAGAAATGATGTAATCTTAAGTCTTAAGTGCAATAAAGGGGAATGATGGAAGGACAAACCACAGGGATGCAGTGACTAGCTGCAGAGGAGAATTAAGAAGGGCTTCAATAAGGTAACAGCAGGTCTTCAAGGAGAGCTAAGGGGTCATCAGGTGATAGTGGAGGAAGAAGAGAGTTTGTCATCGCCAAGGTGTCAATATCCCATCAGAGTCCCTTGAAGTGCAGAGAGTGACTGCAGAGCAGTGGGTAGATGACACAAAACACTGCAAATTCTTGCATGCACAACTTGACCCTAGACTTCCAGTTCTAGATGTGCAAGATCGCAGGGGTGTGGGGAGCAACACCTACCATTCTGGGATGACCCCCGATACCGTGTCGGGCATCTGGTGATCAGAGATGGGGAGAACATCACCGCAGTGTTGTTAAACAGCCTTAACTCCTTGGCCTCGTGTGGCTTGCAGGGCTGGCTGCGCTCCTGGGGGTGCAGGGGTTCACAGGGATGGAGGGGTTCACGGGCCTTGCGGAGCTTGCGCTGTTCACATGGCCTAAGGAGCTTGTGAGGTGCACCTGACTCAAGGGTCTCAGAGGATGCGTAGTGTACCTGGGCCCTGGGTGTTGTGCGCTCCTTATAGAGTTTGTGGGGTCCAGAAGTTTGGCCGGACTCAGAGGATTTGGTGGATTCCATGGGCTCAGAGGTTTCTTCGGACTCCTTATACCTGTCGACCTCCTCATCCTCCTCATCCTCATCCTCGTCGTCCTCGTCGTCCTCGTCATCCTCGTCGTCTTCATCGTCCTCGTCGTCCTCTTCGTCGTCCTCGTCGTCCTCGTCGTCCTTGTCGTCCTCGTCGTCCCCGTCGTCCCCGTCATCCTCGTCGTCCCCCTCATCCCCATCTTGCTGGTCTCGCCGCTTAGCCTCCTGCTTCAGAGCGTCCTGCAAATCGAGAATCCTGAGCACAAAGGGTTTCTGGAAGGCTTCGGAGTTAGAGGACGTTTCTGTCTGCGTCACCTCGGACAACTCGGATGAACCTGAAAACCCTTGGCCCGCCATTGTGTCAGAAACCCTCTCGGGGAGGGTGGCCCAAGCCAAGTTCAAGGTCTTCAGGAGACTGAACTGCGTGGGGGCAGCCCACGCCCCGCCCCGAGGCCGACTTGGCCCCGCCCCTCCCCCCTCCCTTCGCGTTGTCCCGTTGTCATGGGGACCTTGGGCCGGCAGCCAGAGCATCCAGAGCAATTGTCTGCAGGGACCAGGCAAGATCCCCGAACTGCAGCTCTCTGCACAGCCCTGGGGCAGAACCTGTCAGCTTCCATCTAGTTGCTTTACAACTCAGCAGAGGCAGATCGGTTAGATTTCAGAGTTTCCTCCATATAAAGGCTGGGAGCAGATGCAGAAAATTTAGATCCTCAATCACTAAGACAGTTTCTAGTAAATGCACATCAACCGAATAAGGACTGTGGGGAGAGGGCGGCAGCAGTGTGATGTTTGTTTAACATTTCAGAAAGATTTTTCCATTTTATCTCCACCTGGATTTCTACAAGCTGTCACAAGGAAACACTGATAGGTTTTAAAATCCTACAACTTGTGTCCCATCTCAGGATATATGATCCATTGAAGTTTGCTACAAATCATTACTTTATCTTGTGAAGAACACAATTGTATCCTCTGTGTGCACATTAATTTGTTGTCACACACACACACACAACACACACACACACACACCAGGGATTGAACCCAGGGGCACTTAACCACTGAGCCACACCTCTAACCTTTTTTAAAATCTTTGAGAGGGTCTCCATATGCTGCTTAGGGCCTCACTAAATTGCTGAGGCTGGCTTTGAACTTGCTATCCTCCTGCCTCAGCCTTTGAAGCTGTTGAGATTACAGGTGTGTGCCACCGTGCCCAGCAAGTGTGATGTCTTTTAAACCCAGCATACCACAATTTTTGTAATCTTGGTTTTGGCACTGCCCTCACCCTTCTTTTTTAAACGAATATGCCAAGATATTTTAAAAATGAAAGTGGCCTGGGCTTTTCATAATTTTTGAGAACTGCATTTAGCCTTTAAGACCATGATGGTGTGGGAAAGAAATGGTGGTGTTTCAATAATGTGTTTATTTTCAAGGGAGGGGACTAGAGGTGTTAAGGAACAAATCATCTGTCAAAATATATAGTAAACTAAGGACCCCTTTTGCATATTACTAGATAATCCTTAGATATACTTTGTCTTATAGATGTGAAACAACTATATTCACATTTTGGATTATGAATGTTATCTAGAATGAAACTAGGAGATTCTTTCTAGTCTGACATATGCATATGTAAATCAGAAAATCTACACCTTCAGACACATTTTGATATAGTGCAATATTGTACTGAGATTCAATAGCTATCTTCAGGGAGTTTTATAACTCAACCTATAAACAATCAGGAAAGAATTACATAAACTCACCTTAAAAAGCAGGATGGCCCCTAAATCAGAAAAAGCTGCCCACCACTAAAAGAAATGTCTTTAAATAGCCAAAGAGCATATCAGAAATATTTTGAAAAGGGGGTTTCAACTAAAAATGGATGTATGGGAGTCAAAGAGACTGCACCTATCAAAAACTGCAGAGGTTGGGGCCTGGGGTGTAGCTTAGTAGCAGAGGGCTTGTTTATGTGGAGGACCTAGGTTGGATCCCCAGCACCTCCTCCAACAACTCCCTCCCCAGGAAAAATGCAGAGGGGAAAGGACCTAAGCCAACAGAAAGCAACTGTTACATCCTGTTCTTTAGGTCCTCTTGAGATGGATGTGTGATCTGGCACCACTTTACTTCAAAAGATCCATGCTCCCAAGACAACTTTCTGGCATGACCCAGCTTCCCAGGGAGTCTGTTTACTGGGAGAGATTAGAAATGATCACACAGAAAGAAATCTGGTCCACTTCACAGATATATATTGACGCTCTGGTTTTATACACCAACCACATGAATCTGACTAATGTCTTTCCTGAGATTGATTTAGGAATCAATCTTTATTCTCCTTTTCTATCACCTTCTCCCCATATCCAATACATAAGCAACTCCAGTTAACTCTGAAAATACATGTCTTCCACGCATCCCTTTCTCTCCACGTCCAGTCACTGACCTAGTCCACCCCACCCAGTTCGCCTTCTGATTTCTACCATTGCCCAGCTCCAATCATAACATTCCAAACATTAGAGAGGACACACTTGTACTATAAGTGGTCCCACAATCTAGTCCTTTTTCTCTCTAGTCCACTTCGGGTCATTACACCCTTGCTCTGTACATTCTAGTCTCCCTGTTCTTCTCTAGTTTGTCAAACTTTTTTCCATTTCTGCCTTTTCCTACACCTGTTCTGCTGTCTGGAGTTCACTTCTCACCACTCTTCCCATACTGGCTGTTTTCTATGCTGTAACTCTCAGCTTAAATACTACCCACTCAAAGAGTCTTTCCAGCTCTTATTAATTTTTTGTATATATGTACAATTTTATTAGTGAACATAATAAAATATTTTCAATAGCACAGAATTCAGCTGCTTGGATTTTAAAGAGTAAAATTTAATTATTATCGATTTTTATTGGAGTATTATAATTATATGTAGTATTTGGGTTCACTCTGACAAAATTATACATAGCAGAAATTTTATTTCAATCCCCATCCCCCTTTCTTCTCCCTTCATTCCTCCCCCTTTTCTCCCTCCTCTACTGATCTTCGATTTCATTTTTTTTTTTATTGCAGTTGGACACAAGACCTTTATTTTATTTATTTATTTTTATGTGGTGCTGAGGATGGAACCCAGTACCTCGCACATGGTAGGCTAGCGCTCTACCGCTGAACCACAACTCCAGCCCCTAACTCCTTTATTTATTTTTTTTAACAATTTTATTTTTATTTATTTTTTATTTTTTTTAAGAGAGAGAGAATTTTTAATGTTTATTATTTAATTTTTGGCGGACACAACATCTTTTCGTGTATGTGGTGCAGAGGATCGAACCCAGACCGCACGCATGCCAGGCGAGCGCGCTACCGCTTGAGCTACCTCCCCAGCCCAACTCCTTTATTTTTGATTGAGGTTTTCTATATATACATAAGGATGAAATTCCCTCTGGTAAATTTATATGTGTATATAGCATAATTTAATACAATTAAATAAATTCATCCCATATTTCTGTTTCTGTCCTCCCTCTGTCCCTCTCATTCTCCTCTTTCTCCTCCATTGATTTTCCCTTTATCTTGATATCCAATCCCCTCCCCCCACTGCCTTTCTCCCCTTATTTTGTTCTAGCCTACACACGAAAAACATTCCACCCTTAATTTTCTGAGTCTGATTTATTTCACTTAGCATGATTTTCTTCATTTCTATCCATTTACCTGCAAATGCTATTATTTTGTTGTTCTTTATGGCTGAGTAAAACTCCATTGTGAATATATGCCAAATTTTCTTGAACCATTCATCTATTGACAAGCATCTGGGTTGATTCCATAATTTGGCTATGTGTGAATTGTGCTATTATAAACATTGTAGTGGCTGTTATTACTGTAGTATGCTGATTTTAGTTTTTTCAGATAAATACAGAGGAGTAGGATAGCTGGGTCATATGGTGGTTCCATTTCTGGTTTTTTGAGGGAACTTCACACTGCTTTCCAAAGAGGTTGTACTAATTTGCAATTCCACCAACAGTGTATGAGTGTACCTTTTCCTCCCTACCTTTGCCAACATTTATTATTATTTGTGTTCTTGATAACTGCTGTTCTGACTGGAATGAGATGAAATCTTAGTGTAGTTTTGATTTGCATTTTCCTGATTGCCAGAGATGTTGAATATTTTTTCATATAATTATTGACCATTTGTGTTTCTTCTTTTGAGAAATTTATTTAGTTCTTTTGCTCATTTATTGATTTTGTTATTTTTCTGGGGGGGTTGAGATTTTTGAGTTCTTAATCAAAATCCAGAGTCAGAGGAGTAACTGGCAAAATTTTTTTTCTCATTCCATAGGCTCTCTCTTTACTCTCTGAATTGTTTCCTTTGCTGTTTAATTTGATGGCATCCCACTATTGAGTCTTAGTTTTTATTTCTTGAGCTTTAGTGGTCTTGTTGAGATAGTTGATGCCTGCTCCTCTATGATAGAATGTTGACTCTATGTTTTCTTCTAGAAGTTGCAAGATTTCTGGTCTAATTCCTAAATTTTTGATCCACTTTGACTTTTGTGCAGGGTGAAAGATAGGGTCTAATTTTATTTTTCTACTTATGGATATGCCATTGTCCTGTACCTTTTGTTTAAAAGGCTTTCTTTTCTCCAACATATTTTTGGCACTCTTTCAAGTATCAGATGGCTGAAAGTAGGTGGGTTTATATTTGTGTCTTCTATTTCATTGTTCTTCATATCTATTTTGTTGCCAGTACCATGCTGGTTTTGTTACTACAGCTCTGTAGTATAATTTCAGATCAGATATTCTGATGCCTTCTGCTTCACTTTTTAAAAAATATTTTTATTTGTAGATTTACACAATATCTTTATTTTGTTTATTTTTTTAATGTGATGCTAGAGATCAAACCCAGTGCCTCACACAGGCTAGGCAAGCACTCTACCATTGAGCCACAACCACAACCCCTGCTTCATTTTTCTTGCTTAGTATTGCTTTGGCTATTCTGGGTCTCTTATTCTTCCAATTGAATTTAAGGATTTTTTTTTTCTACTTCTGTGAAGAATGTCTTTGGTATTTTGATGGGGATTGCATTAAGCCTGTATATTGCTTTTGGTAGTATGGCCATTTTGACAATATTAATTCTGCTTATCCAAGAACATGTCCAGCCCATATTATTTTTTAAAGTATTCTAGTATCAAGTACAGTGAATGACTAGGAACAACTGTCATTATTTTTGATATTTTCCTGCCTAGGCTCCCTTCCCTCTTCTTTTGAAAGCAGACCACCTCCTTTCTATGAGAGCATGGATTTCATATGGTTTGAGGGAGCTAGTCCTTCTTCCTACTCTGGATCCAGCCAATCTGGCCACAAGAATCTGTTCAGGTATAAAGATGTGACCTCAGCAGAGCCAATCAGTGCCCCTCAATGAGATTTGCTGTCTAGCTGTTGAAAGAGGGTTCATAATATCCTGAGATCATGGGCTATATGAATAGTGTAGGCTTGATGTCTACAGCAATCATCCTACTACCTTGGTGAGGGTAACAAGAGTCTGAGTATTAATCCAGGCAGAGGTTAGCAGGACCAAGAGATGGAAAGACAGTCTTACTATCTCTGAAGCCCTGAGTCTACTCATGCTCAAGTTTCTCAGTATGATGAGTTTCCCCAAACCACCCTCTCTTTGGGGCACAAAGAAATTATTTAAAAGAAATTAGGATCTATTTTTTAATACTTTTGTTTTATTTATTTGTTTTTATGTGGTGCTGAGGATCAAACCCAGTGCCTCGCATGTATTAGACAAGTGTTCTACCATTGAGCTACAACCCTAGTCCCTGGGCACACATAAATTTGAGTTGAATTCTCATCCTTTTTTTTTTTTTTTTTAAACTGGTGGTTTTTTTTTTTTTTTTTTTAATATTTTATTTTTTTAGTTCTCGGCGGACACAACATCTTTGTTGGTATGTGGTGCTGGGGATCGAACCCGGGCCGCACGCATGCCAGACGAGCGCGCTACCGCCTGAGCCACATCCCCAGCCCCCCTCATCCTTTTTAACTGAAAGAGTCTTGGCACTTAGTTGGTACTTAATAAATGTTGACCGTCTGAATAAATGAAAAGGCCAAATCACTTTTTTGATTCAGTAACAAAATCTATGGTTTCTAAGTCAAGAAGACTTAGAAACATCAGATTGTCTTAAGTCCTCCAAAGTATTAAGTGTCTCCTTTTGAGGCCTGATGGGAGGACTACCAGCCAGCAGCCTCTCTGACATCACACCCATCTGTCCTGGATGAGTACTATTTCCATTGAAAACCCCTGTGACATGTACCTGCATTGCTAGCCCGAGAGCATCTCAAGTATAGAGTCCTGCTTTACTCATTCCCCAGCATCATGCAATGATGATCACATTGGTATTAACAGTTCCCTGAAAGAAAAACTCCAGTTATTTTAGCAACAGCATTTGTTGCCAAAATGCAGAAAATAATATCAGAATGTGAGGGGGAAAAAAAAGACCAAACAAGGAAAAACAGACCTATCATCCCTCATCCTGATAAAGCTTTTGGTATCACCTTTGAAAAAGGCATCAAGGAACTATATAGGCCTCTGATCCCCATTAGAATTCACAGGGAAGAAAGAGCATAGAATTCAAGCTCAGGGCTGGAAGTAGTCTACAATGGGCTAGATCCATTTATAGAGAGAAGACCAAGATGATTAACAGATGTGTCCAGGAGTCCATTCGTAGAAAGCCTCGAGAAAGAAGCTAAAATTCAGGGTTTCTGATGATCCTAAATCAATGTGTGGTCCCATTTCCAAGGACCAAACAAAAGAAGGTTTGACATTAGACATCTGAGTGGCAGTTGTAATGGGATCAGCACAGTCATTCAGTGTACTCAGGATGCTGCAGCCCTGACTGTGGAGAAGGTAAAGACCTTAAAGTCGCTCACTCCCCTGTTTCGCCTCTCATAGGCAATCATTTTGTACAAACCTGTGTACGCGAATGCCTAAGTTGGGTTACATTCCATTGTAACATAAAGCTTGATAGAGATGGTTTTGTGCTAACATTGAGAGGCTTAATCATCTTCATCATAGTTGGTTCTTTGGCACAGATTCCAAAAATGTAAAAGGGAGAATTTATATATACCACAATCCACTTTCAAAAATAATTATTTTTTTTAATCAAGGAAAAGCACTATAGTTGAACTTCACATCAAGTCTGTAGGTAAATATCATTATCAGTTTACAAAACATCTCTAGTGGAGAAAGCATATCTATATATAAAAGTGAAATGTCAAGAATTTTAAAAGCAAATCCCTTCAATATTCCTCACCTAGTATGACAGGCACCTAGAGACAAGCATTTCGTAACTCTTTCTGAAAGTGGTTGATTTCTATTTCTCTGTGGGTTTGAAGGTGCTCACTTTCCTCATTCTACTATCCTATAATTCTCTCCCACAATGTTAATGGATCCACTTAAAAGAAAGACATATGGATGTGATACAACAATCTGTATACGGGGTAAAATTGGGAGTTCATAACCCACTTGAATCAAACTGTGAAATATGATATATTAAGAACTATGTAATGTTTTGAATGACCAACAATAAAAAAATTAAAAAATTAAAAAAAAAGAAAGACATATGGATTTTTACTTGAGAAGAAGAAGCTTGTTAAAATGTTTTAATAGAAACTTAATAGCACTGAAAAACCACAAGTGGGGTGAAAACATTCTAATGTTCACTTTACTTTTGTTGATTAAACATCCTAATTCTAGGGCTGGGGGTGGAGCTAAGTGGAAAAGCATGTGCTTAGCATGTGCAAGGCCCTGGGTAAAAACCACTGGAAAAATAAAAAATCCTAATTCGCTCCAAATATGCTGTTTTTAAAATATGTTAATAGTACAACCAGAGATATGAAAAGTTGTGCTGTATATGTGTAATAAGAATTGTAATGCATTCCACTGTCATTTATTTTTTAAAAAATCAATAAAATAAAAAATAAAATATGTTGACTGGGTGTGGCGGTGAATGCCTGGAATCCCAGCAGCTAGAGAGGCTAAGGCAGGAGGATCATAAGTTCAAAGCCAGCCTCAGCAACTTAGTGAGGCCCTAAGTAACTTAATAAGATCCTGTCTCAAAATAAGAAACAAAAAGAACTGGGGCTGTGTCTCAGGGGCTATGCACCCCTGGGTTCAATCCCTGGTACCAAAAAATAAAATAAATGTTTTTGTTTGGTTAGCTGTTTGTAGTATTAGATTCAATCCAGGAGTATTTTACCACTGAGCTGTATCTCTGGCCCTTTTTATTTTTTTATTTTGAGACAGGCTTTTTCTAGGTTTCCCAGGCTGGTCTCAAACTTGAGATCCTCTCCAGTCATCCTCCCCAGTCCCCCCAGTGGGATTACAGTCGTGTACCACCATGCTCAGCTATAAATATGTTTAAAGTTCAAAATCTAAATAAGTAGATACTCATAATGAATTAACGTTATCTTTGTGTATATGTCATGCATTGAGAAAATAGAAAATGTCTTATTTTTTAATCGAAAGTGGAAACCTTTGGTTTCAAGCCTGCCACTCAGCATTCCCCAATGACATGTAGGTGGTTAGTCATACAGTGGGCCTCGTCCTGCTTACTGCACATTTGCAGCCAGGTGTGCAATCAGGTCTTTGGCATCTTGCATAGTAGAAGGTATCTCTGCGCCATTCTTGGTCACTTGAGTTCCAAACAAGAACAATTTTCTGTCATTTCCCACCTCAGATAATGCTAATGCTTCGTGGATATCTGTAATGTGATAGGCTGCCTCGAGATCCTTCACCCAGAATGGAAAAATAAGAAGAAAAAGTTGGTTATTTTGCATTCCTTTGGGATATACAGACTTACTATTTGTATTTATTGCTCTAATGACTTCACCATTTTAATACAGAGGATGTTATGACCCCAATTGTGATGACACCAGTAGATGTTTGAATATAAATATTTTCACCAGAATTATGCCAGTATGGGGGTGGGTACTAGGGATTGAACCCAGAGACACTTTACCACTGAGTCACATCCCCAGCTCTTTTTATTTTATTTTTGAGACAGGATCTGATTCAGTTGCTTATGACCTCACCAGGGTGCTGAGGCTATCCTCAAACTTGAGATCCTCCTGTCTCAGCCTCCTGAGTTGCTGGGATTTCAGGTGTGCACCACTGCACCCAGATAATGCCAGCATTTATGTGTTATCAAACAAATGTTTTCTGGAATGAAGCTAAGCCAATCTAATACCTTAATTTTCTAAACAGAGTCATCACTGTTTTTAATTCAAGATTATTTTCAACAGAATCAATTAATACAAATTTATATTTATCAAAAGGAATTTGATTCATTAGTTACTTTTGGTTCATATCATGTATTTCTGATTTTAGCACTTGCCATTGTGAGCTTTCTTTTCTGATCATTATTTCTACTGAACAAGAACTTTGGATCAAACTTTGGGAGGTAGAGGGAGACTGACAAGAGACCAGGGAGGGAGCAGATCGAGATATAAGAGAACAAAAATGGTAGGGAGGGAGGCAAAGAGGAGGAGAGAGGCAAAGAGATGCAGCAGGGGCAGAATCCCCTAGGGAGAGCCACCCGGGCTTAAGCTGCATGCCACAGTCAGACTCCTAGAGGTCAAAATGGAAAGATCCAAATATACTCCTCTGCCTCTCATGCATCCAGAAGTATTTAGACAAAAGGTCTCTGATATTTCTTTTAATAAATATTAAATCCCTATTGTTTTTGAGTCCTTTGCAAAAAAGTTGGCATTTTTACATCTAAAACTGCATTTGTAATTGGCTTTTTATTAATTCCCAGCATTTCTCTAAGCTTCAGAGTATCATTTTATCTATCTATCTATCATCTATCTATTTATTGAGATGGGGTCTCACTATGTTGCCCAGACTGGCCACAAACTCCTGGGTTCAAGTGATCCTCCTACCTTAGCTTCCTGAGGAGCTGGGATAAACGGGGGTGCCACTGCACCTGACCAGCAGAACAGTTTTCAAGTTCTAAAAATAATCCAATACTGAGTCATATTTTTCCTATACCAATGTAGACCTACCAAATTCCACCACGGGGAGGCTTCATGATGTGCTGTAATTAGTAACTGGGAGGTGGTTACCCCTCTGAGTACTGGTAGTCACATACATTCACTGACTGTTCTAAACCTGAATAATTTACTTGATCTTAGAGCCTATAATAATTTGTGTAATGGCATTAATAAATCCAGTAACATGGATAATGTCCCAGATTAAATAAGTTCTCTGATTGAATTGGAGCAGAAAAAATAGGAAGAGAAGGGTGGTAGGTGGGAAGAGGGGCTCCCTCTAATGATATAACACATAAGGTATAAATACAGGGTTTATTCCATGCTTATATAATTGGGCCTTAATAGAGTTAATAATGCAAAGAGTAAAGATAAAAAAAGATGACTTCTTTGAAAACCCTTACATAAAAACTTGAACTTGGGGTTGGGATTGTGGCTCAGCGGTAGAGCACTCGCCTAGCACACGGGGGGCCCTGGGTTTGATCCTCAGCATACATGAAAATAGGTAGATAAAATGGAGGTATTGTGTCCAACTACAACTGAAAAATAAATATTAAAAAAACTTGAACTTAGGTAAAATAATAGACTAAATATTTTGGCCAAAGAATATAAACAAAGATAAATTGAGCTCTTGTTATGGTATGAATATGAAGTGTCCCTCAAAAAGCTCATTCATTAGGCAGTGCAGGAATGTTCAGAGATGAAATAATGAGCTTATGAGAGCTGTAATCTCATTAATGGGTCAATCCATTTGATTTATTAATAATTTAAATGGACTACTGACTGGTAACTGCAGGCTGATGGTGTGTGGCTATGGAAATAGGTCATGTGGTGGTGGTGGGTGGCCTTGGAGTGTATCTTGTCCCTGGCTCCTCTCTTGCTCTTGGTTGTCATGAATTGAGCAGCTTCCTCTGTCACACCTTTCTACCATGATATTTTACCTCCTCTTGGGCCCAGAGCAATGGGGTCAGATTGATCATGAACTGAACCTCTGAAACTTAAAGCCCCAAATAATCTTTTTCTCCTCTAATTGTTCTTGTCTGGTGTTTTGGTCACAGTGATGAAAGGCTAACTAACACAAACTAGAATATACAGATCTTTTCTCATTAAGGCTCAATAAAATTATAAATTTGACAATGAATTGCCTTGTTGATTTAATTTGATGAAGAGACAAATCACAAAAGAAAGTATTGATAAATTAAAAATAGAAATCTTCAATATGAAAATGTAAACTATAAGTAAAATAAAATGACATGCCACCAGAATGCTGAAGAAGATAGTAGTAAAGCATGTGACTAACAAAGAATGCTTTTAAAGATTCCTATAATTCAAACAAGAAAAGATAGAGGGGCTAGAGGTATAACAGAGTGGTAGGAAACACGCGTAATATATTTGAAACACTGGGTTCTACCCCCAGCAAAACACACACACACACAATAAATACTCTAGTAAGAGTTTGGAAAAAGATACTAATAAATTCACTAATGTGGAGATCAATAAACACCTGAAAAATATTTAAGCTCACTAGCAATTAGAGAAATATAAATTAGAATAATAAAAAACAATTCTGCCCCATCATATTGGCAAAAATACCAAGTACTGACAAAGATATAGAGTTCCAAAAACTGTCACCTTCTGCCAATGGGAGAATGAACTGGTATAACATCTTTGGAAAGCAACTTGATAAGATCTAGTCTAATTTACCATTTATAAATACAAAAACCCAGTAATTGTTCTTTTAGGCATACGTACCAGGAAAATGTTCACAGAGATCTCCAAGGAGACACATATATTTGAAGGCTTATTTGCAACATTGTTTATAACAATGAAAAATTGAAAATAATTCAAATACACAACAAGAAAATGGCAAGACTGTGGTATATTCATTCGTGCAATGGAATAGCATACAGCTCACATTTATCATGACTTTTAAAATCTTTGCTATTATTTATTTATTTATTGTTTATTGATGTTGGAACTGGCAATAGAACCTAGGGCCTCATGCATGCTAAGCACATCTTCTACCATTGAGCCATACCTCCATCCCCAAATCTTTGTAGTTTATGGTATTTAAAATGCTCCTCTTAAAAATAAAAACAAAACAACACGAGTGTTTCTTTCAAAATGTTAACCGAATGTCAAAATCTGCTGAACTAGTTTCCACAAGGGACTTCAACTAGGCTCCTACTTTGGGTCATCATTTGGGATTAGTTTATTTCCATAAATATTCACTCATAGAAGTCATAAAAGAAAAAGTAGGAATTGAGCTGTTTTATAATCGGCAAACCTAGCCATTGAGAAAGGGGCTTAAGTAATACAATGTTATGGAAATTCACTTTTTTAAGTATTATTTTTAGTGATGAACATAACATCTTTATTTTTTTATGTGGTGCTGAGGATCGAACCCTGTGCCTCACACTCGCTCCACCACTAAGCCACAACCCCAGCCCTTGGAAATTCATTTTTAAATTTTTTTTAATTGTGAAAAGTGCACGTAACAAAAGTTACCATCTTAACCATTTTTCAGTGTACAGTGCCATTAAATACATTCACATTGTTGTGCGATTATCACCCAAACTCTCTTAATCTTGCTAAACTGAAACTCTGTGCCTATCAATTAATTCCCCCATACCATAGCTCCAGGCAACCACCATTCTGTTCTGTATCTTAGTGGATTTGACTTTTCTGGGAGCCTCAATAAGCAGAATTTTTCAATATTTGTCCTTTCTTGGCTGGCTTATTTCGTATAACATGATGTCTTAAAGGTTCATCTGTGTTGTAATATGTCAGAATTTCCTTTCCTTTTAAGGCCAAGTAATGTAAGAACCATGTTTTGTTTATCTGTTCATCATTGGATGGACTCTTGGGTTGCTTCCACCTTTTGGCTACTGTAAATAGTGCTATATAAATACCTGTTTGAGAAGTGCTTTCAGGGTTTTTTTTGTTGTTGTTGTTAGGGGGGCGGGGTGGAGATATATGCCCAAAAGTGGAATTGCTACATCATATGGGAACCCTATTTTTTTATTTTTTGAGGAGCCACAATATTATTTCCCATAGCAAGTATACAATTTTACATTCCAACAGTGCACAGGGGTTCCAATTTCCCCATCGATATTTAATATTTTTAATATGTGTATGAAATAAATTCAGGTCAATCTAGTTGGTCTAAAACAAAACTATTTATTTATACATGGAAACCTCTCAAATATTTTGTTGGATTCAACCATTAATATATGTTTATTGAAATAAGTTCAACAGACCTTTGCTGAATTCCTACTATGCACAAAGCAGTCTACTTAGGAACTTCAAAGGACACCAAAATTCATAACAGTCATTACGCTCAAGGAGTTTATAACCCAGGAAATCTAATAAGTCGAATTGAATATGCAGCATATTATTGAGTATCTAGCTATTAAAAATAGACATTTCTTGTATTAGTAAACAAAGTATTGAGTGTGATTTATATTTGCACAGATTTTTACCTGTTTGTGTGCAAACACAACCAGAGGAAGGATTGGATTTGCTTCTGTTAGTTGATGAAGGAATTTTTTGGCTTCAGGTAATCGATTGTGATCTGCTGAATCCACCACAAAGATCAGCAACAATCCCTTGGACAGGTACATTTCCCAGTAGGAACGGAAAGGCTCGCTGCCGCCAACTACAGAGAACAGTAGAGGAAAAAGACACCAACAAATCACAGGAGCATTCACCCAGGACAGTCTGGGCACACTGGACAGGTGTTCCAACAAAATTCCACTGTGTTAGAAGATATCCAATTCTGTGAGCAATGAGAGGGACACTGCTGGGAAATAGCCATTGGGAATGAGTACCCTTCACAGTGGATCATTCATTTTGGAATCAGAAAGGATCTTTGTTCAGATATTAAATATTACAGTGGGTGTCTTCTGATCCTGACATACACAGCAGACTCACAGCCACTGCAAGTTCATCAATGGGAGTGGGCTACTGAAATAGTTAAAGGTGGTAGGTTAAAGCACAAGTTATGCTGGGCACAGTAGTGTATGCCTGTAATCCCAGTGGCTTGGGAGGCTGAGGCAGGAGGATTGTGAGTTCAAAGCCAGCCTCAGCAACTTCACAAGTCTGAATAACTCGTTGACTCTGTCTCTAAAAAATACAAATAAAAGGGCTGGGAATGTGGCTCTGTGGTTAAGTGCCCCTGGTTCAACTCCCAGTATGGGGGAAAAACAAACAAACAAAAAACACATATCACTCTGATTTTTAAATGGACTAAACTTCTTGGCGACCCTCATTTGCATAATACTTTTCCTTTGTCAGAATCCTAGAACTAATTTCTATTTTTAATATTGCATTAAGAGGAAATATGATCTTAAGGTATTCAGGAATATTTGCCTTAGAATAAAAATGCCTTTAGATTACAGAAATTCATTCTGCTGATTCTTCGCAAAGGAAACTTTTTGGTAATAATAATATACAAAATGAATTTAGCTTTTATTTTTCTCCTAGGATGGGGTTTGGCAGACCATGGTCCCATATTCAAATCTAACCAGCCACCTATTTTTGTATAGCTCACAAGCTAAAAAGGCTTTTTTACACATTTAAATGTTTTTTTAAAAAGAATACCATATTACAACTGTGAATATTCTATCAATTTTAGATTCTAGTGTCCACAAATAGTTTTTTTGGAACACAATATGTTTTGGTTTATATATTATCTGTGGCTACTCTTATACCAAGGGCAGTTTAGTGGTTACAACAGAGACCATGCGGTCCACAGAGCTCAAATTATTTCCTACATAGCCATTGATAGAAAAAGCTTTCAGATCTCTCTAACAGCAACTTAACAAAAGCCATTTTAAACACTAATAAGAAAAGATTTACCTTTCCTTGTTTTCTTTTGCATCTCTCTAGGCTAGTCATTCTTCTAAGTATTTTGTGTCTTTCATTTGTTAAACTATTTTGAAAACTTCTAAGTAATTCTGTTGATTTCAACACAATTTAAACATCCATGGACATTGAGTTATTCCTCATTTATTGTTACCATAAACAATGCTGCTGTAAAGACTTTTGTATTTGTTTCCTGGTGTGGATATGCATGAAAGGAAGACCAACTATGCTAAATTGTTTTCTAAAGTGGCAGGTTTCAATTTATGTTCCACTAATGGCCAATAAATTTCCTTTGGATTCACATTCTCTTCAAAACTTGGTATTATCTGATTGATTTGTGTGTGTGTGTGTGTGTGTGTGTGTGTGTGCGCGCGCGCGCGCGCGCTCGCCTGCGCCTAATTTGAATTCTCTTGCTTAATGATCATTAAACATTTTTTCATGTTACTTCTAATTTGTTTCATGTGAAATGTTTTTTATGATGTCTAAATTTTTTCATAAGAGTTCTTAACATATTCTGATTACTGTCTGTTTATTGCGGCAGGTTATATGTGTTGCATGTATCTTCTCCCATTTTGTGGCATCTTTTTTATGAGCAGAAGTTCCCAATTTTAATGTAGTTGATTTGCCCATCTGTCTTTATCCATTTTTATATCCTGTTTTGTATTCTGCATCTGTCTTTTTCTACCCTGGAGACATAAAATATTCTCTGTTTTCTTCACAAAGCTTTTTACATTAGACTTTTATCCATCTGAATTTGATGTATACATATATATATATATATATATAAAGAGGCTGATAAACAATTTTTTCTCATGTGCCATCACCATTTGTTAAACAGCCTCTCTTTTCCCCAGAAGATCTCTACTCTGTACATTTGGTCACTTTGCTCATTCCTGTGCCAACACCACACAATGTTAATTTTAAAGCTTTATAGTAAGATTTGATATTTGACAGAATAAGGCTGTCTTTCTTACTCATTTCTTAAGAGTGTCCAGCTTTTTTTATACCTTTATTCTTCCATGTAAGTTTTAGTCTCAGCTTCTCAAACTCTTAAAAAAAGTTTTATCGGGATTTTGATTGGAATTGAATTATATCTAAACATAAATTTGGAGGAGAATTAACATCTTTTTAAGTTTTGTTTTCAAAATTTTTTTTTAATTGTAGATAGACACACATGTTTGTTTATTAGTTTATTTTTATGTGGTGCTAAGGATTGAACCAAGTGCCTCACACATGCCAGGCAAGCACTTTACCACTGAGTTACAGCCCCAGCCCATGAATTAACATCTTTTTGATGTGCTGACTTCCTATTTATGTCACCATTTATTTAGATCTTCTTTCAGTGTTTTCCAATGACATCTGCAAATTCTCTCTCTCTCTCTCTCTCTCTCTCTCGTGTGTGTGTGTGTGTGTGTGTGTGTGTGTGTGTGTGTGTGTGTATGTGTGCGTGGTTAAGTTTAGGACTAGCTAAATTATGTACATTGCTATCAAAAATGATATCTTCTTAAAAATCATAAATGCTAAGCTGTGCATAGTAGTGCATGCCTATAATCCCAGCAACTAGGGGAAACCTCCCAGCAGGAGGACAGCAAGTTTGAAGCCAGTCTCAGCAACTTAGTAAGGCCCTAAGCAACTAAGAAAGATCCTATCTCAAATCAAAAAGTAATTAATTAATTTAAAAGGCTGGGGGGCTGAGGTTGTAGCTCCAGTGGTAGACTGCTTGCCTACCACGTGTGAGGCACCAGGTTCCATCCTCAGCACCACATAAAAAATAAATAGAAGTATTGTGTCTATCTACAACCAAAAAAAAGAAAATTTTTTTTAATAAAATAAATAAAAGGTTGGGTGTGTAGCTTTGTGAAAAAGTGCCCATAAGTTCAACCGAAGAAGAGAAAAAAAAATCATTTTCTGCATGTTGCTGGATAACAGAAGGATAATTGACTTTTTAAAGTAATTTGACACGGGCTGGGGATGTGGCTCAAGCAGTAGCGCGATCGCCTGACATGCATGCGGCCCGGTTGGATCCTCAGCACCACATACCAACAAAGATGTTGTGTCCACCGAGAACTAAACAATAAAACATTAAAAATATTCTCTCTCTCTCTCTCCTCTCTCTCTCTCTCTTTAAAAAAAAAAAAAAAAGATGTCTAAAAATAAATAAATAAATAAAGTAATTTGACAGTAAACCTAGGTCTTCTAGATTTCCTTTAAAGAAAATTACAACATTCATAAACAAGAACTGTTTTGTTTCTTCCTTTCTAATCCTAATGCCTTTTCTTTGTGTTGAATTGACTTAGACCTTCTGGGTAATGCTGAACGAAAATACTCTTGTAGGAGAATTTATGGAAGATTAAGATTGATAGAGTTTACCTATAAAATCAACTTATCTAGTGTTTTCATTATAGAGAGATTTTTTTCTTTTTTCTTTTTTTTTTTTTTTTGGTGGTGTTGGGGATTAAACCAAGGGCCTTGTGTTTGTGAGGAAAGCTGAGCTATATCCCCAGCCCTAGAGTGATTTTTAGCTAATGATTTTATTTTTAATTTTTTAAATTATTCAATGTCTTATTTTTATTTATTTTCCACATTTTTATTGGTGAACTATAGTTGTACACAATGGTATGATTTATTTTTACATATTTGTACATGCACACAATATAACAATATAATTTGGCCAAGAGTTTTTATTTCTTCTTGAATCTGCTTTTGTAATATATATATCTATTAGCACAGATGTAAATATACTCTTGACATCTTTTTTCCATTTGAGACATTAGTTGTGCTTTCTAGATTTTCCTTGATAAATTTCATCAGAAGATTGTCTATTTTGTTTGTCTTTCAAGGAACTAACTTTTGACTTTTCTGATCTTTGCTACTGTATTTTTGTAATTAATTTCATTGGTTTCTTTATAATCTTTCCTTCTACCTTCTTTGGTTTTAGCCTGTTGTTCTTTCCTAATCTATATCATATATTTAACCCATAAGTTTTCAGCTGTTTTTTTCCTAGCTATAAGCATTTAAGATTGTAAATTTCTTTAAATGCATTATTATTTTGGGGGTGCATGCCAATTTTGACCAATAGATTTTGTCATTGTTATTTTTACCAATCATTTGTTCTGAGTATTTTTAAATTCCCATAATGATTTTATCTTTGAACTATGAGTTATTTAAAAGTGAACCTACCTATCATTGGAAGGGTTTTTGTTTTTTTTGGTACTGAGGACTGAATCCAGGAGTGCTTAGCCACTGGGCTTACATCCTCACCCTCCCTCCTCCTTTTTTTTTTCTTTCTTTCTTTCTTTCTTTTTTTTTCTTATTTTGAAGCAGGGTCTCACTAACTTGTTCAGGGCCTCACTAAGTTGCTGAAGCTGACCTCAAATTTTCTATCTTCCTGCCTCAGCCTCCCCAGCCACTGGGATTACAGACGTACACCATTGCACCCAGCTAATTCGTTGAAGGGTTTTAAGTTAGCAATGGATTTGCTTAAATACATGGGTTAAAATATTTCTCTTCACAAATGGACAAAAGCAAAAATAAAATGATGACTGCAGGAAACTGAGGAACAGGTGAGGGAGGTTTTGGCTCATTTGCAGGCAGTGGAAAAGGATGACACTGACAAATTCTAATTATGCTTTGGAGATACAAAGAGTCAATATGCTTCACTTGTGGACTGAAGGCAGGCATAGAGAAGGAGGAATCAAGGGTGACTCCCAGATTCTGCCTTGAGCAACTTGACGAGTAAGGAATCACTTAATGGCCAGTGGATTACAGGTAATGAAACAGACAGGAGAGGATAAGTCAAAAATTTTTGTTTAATCACAAGGTTTGAGAGGCCGATTAGACAATCAAGTAGAGATGTCAGGGGATATTTGGATATGTTTGGGCTAGATAGGTCAATTTGAGGGGGCTCATTATCATATAGATAGTATTAAGTGCCATGAAGATGGATCAAGTCATCCAAAGAGAGAGTGTAAGAGAAGAACCCAGGAGGCTAAGATAGGAAAATCACAAGTTCAAGGCCAACCTGGGCAATTAATGAGGGCCTCATCTACTTAGGGAGATCCTGTCTCAAAAAATAAAAAGGTCACAGGACTGGGGATGTGGCTCAAGTGGTAGTGTGCTCGCCAGGCATGCACAGGGTGATGGGTTCGATCCTCAGCACCATATAAAAATTAAAAAAATAAAGATGTTGTGTCCACTGAAAACTAAAAAATAATTATTTAAAAAATTCTCTCTCTCTCTAAAAATAATTTTAAAAATAAAAAAATAAAAAATAAATAAAAAGGACAGGAATATAGCTCAGTGGTAAAGCACTGAGAGAGAGAGAAGACAAGGGAAGATCTGACCCAATTTTGGGGTACAGCAACATCTAGCAAGATGGTGACTTCAGCATTGCTGCACAGTAGGGACTTTGGGACTGCCATCTAGTTGGAAGAAGAAGTTTGGGGCTTCTGTATAATTTCATTTGCAGAGAAGGAAGCACACTGTACTTACTTAGGCTGCATGTTTATTTGCTGTAGTGTGGAAAGAGGGAGGCCCGTTATAGATTATAGGAGGGCATGCTAAAGCCTTCCTTTAACCTCCCCTGTCTCCATCACTGCAAAAAAGGAGACAATTAAAAAAGCCGAAAGTGATTCCTAACTCCCTCCCTAGGGCACCTTAGTATTAAACCACACATGCGGGGCTGGGGATGTGGCTCAAGCGGTAGCGCGCTCGCCTGGCATGCGTGCGCCCCGGGTTCGATCCTCAGCACCACATACAAAGATGTTGTGTCCGCCGAGAACTAAAAAATAAATATTAAAAATTCTCTCTCTCTCTCTCTCTCTCTCTCTCTTCTCTCATTCTCTCTTTAAAAAAAAAAAAAAAAAAAAAAAATAAACCACACATGCATCCTAAAGTTTATGTAAATCTGATCCAGCATCATAAGAATCCAGTCGATAGCACCACGTCTAGCTTAACATAAAGGAAGGCTACCAGTTAACTAGTGAGGAAATAGAGCTTACTCTCCAGGAACTCCATCTGGTTGTCTTCAATGTCGATGCAAACGGGATTGAAACCTTGGGTGGGTGCCTTGCTATGCTGGACTTTGTTTAAAGCTAGAGAGTCGAGGATGCTGGTTTTCCCTGCTCCATCCAGGCCTAGAACTAGGATCTGCTTATTTTTGTCCTGTGAAACAAAAGATAAATCAATAAACCTATGCCATCAGGTCCTTGTTTTCCTAGCTCCTAATAGTGTGCCTTCCTGTGCTAGTACCTAATAATAATCATGGAATTGCCAACCAGAGAGGAACTTAACATTTTATAGGCCAAGACCAAACCACCAATCACCTAATGTTTTCACATAACCATTACTACTATGTGACTATTAATCTCACATTATCCTCTCCATCCCCCAACTCCTGGTCAGTCTATCATATACACCAACACACATATACACCAGTATTTATGGAAGGTTCTAGAGGTCTTAGAGTCAATTTCGAGACTTCCTGTTCATGTCCTTTGGAGATTGTACCAGAATTTGGTTTGATTTTCGGGGTCTTGGGACCTCCATGGTGCACACATCCACTATACCACTCAGCATGCAAGCATTTAAGGTCTCATGTTATTATTAATCTATCTTTTCTTCACAAGTAGATAACTTGATTATAAAATGTTAGTGCAAGTTTCCCCTCTTATATTTTTAAGTATCATGATTTAATGATATTAAAGCATCCTACCCATATGTCAGCCTCAATTTTTATTGCCATGGACTGAGGGACCACAAGGGCAGTCTCATGAGAAGACAGAAATACAGTTAAAAGTGCCTAGAGATGTGGTCTCTACAGTGCAAAAATTGTGAGATTAATAGTCACATAGTAGTAATGGTTATGTGAAAACATTAGGTGATTGGTGGTTTGGTCTTGGCCAAAGATTAAGAAGTGAGCCAGACTGCTCAGAGAAATTCCATTCTATTTCCCAAACAGCTTAATAAAGATGTTTCCATGGGTCTAGAGCCACTTTTTGGTTCTAAACAGTTTTAATTATTAAAGGAAATTTGATATCTGGTAAAACACAGGTTATGTAGATCTAAAATACTAGCAATTATCTTTAATGGCACTTGTTTAGAAATAACAATAATCTTATACACCCTGCTTGTTCTGCTTGAACACCAAATGTTGACATTAAACTTAGATTGCATTTCTGGAGGGAAAAAAAGTGATCTTAAACAGTATTAGAATGTCTATAACCACTTCTTTAAAAAAAAAAATCTATGTGAAAGTAAGACATTTTAAGTTCTGCCCTAATAGGTATTTGGGTAAACAACACATTTTTTTAAGTTGGACACAATATCTTTATTTATTTTTCTGTGATGCTGAAGATCGAACCCAGGGCCTCTCACATGCTAGGTGAGTGCTTTACTGCTGAGCCCCAGCCCCAACCCAACAACATAATTTTTGAAGGCCATACATTTTAGAGTGAATTCTTTTTTAATTTTTTAAAATATTTTTAGTTGTAGAAGGACACAACACCTTTATTTATTTATTTCATTTTATACGGTGCTGAGGATCAAACCCAGTGCCTCACACATTTTAGGCAAGTGCTCTACCACTGAGCCACAACCCCAATCCCTAGAGTGAATTCTTGATGGCTCTGAAAGTGAATGATATTTCATGGATCTCTCCTATCTCCATCCCTATGTCCTTCCCCATTCTCTCCATCTGCATCTACATGTTAAAATGCCATTCTTAGGGCTGGGGTTGTGGCTCAGTCGCAGAGCGCTTGCCTATCGTGTGCGAGGCACTGGGTTCGTCTCAGCATCACATATAAATAAATAAAGGCCCATAATAACTAATAAAAATATTTTTAAAATGCCATTCTTAGAAAGTGCTAGGGTAAGGAAGAAGGACTTGATGCACAAAGGAGACTTTGTTGAATGCTTTAAAATTACATGGTTTAAAGCAGTATCAGCACCAAAAAATGGCTGCAGGCATGGATTGTGTTCTCTCACCATTTCGAAGGGGCCCCCACTCAGGTTACCCCAACATACTTCATTACATATTCATTATATACTCATTCCATAGTACATCCCTTCCTCATTTTAATATGCTGAAAATAGGATGTTTTTAAAATATATGGTATGTCCTATTTTGGTTGGTAGCATTTTTTTTCTTAGTGATTCCTAAAATAATGATGTACTAGGTCCTTGAAACATTGTGAGTTAAAAACAGTTCCCTACTCCTTTTCCAACCACATTGCCACACCTAAACCCATTCTACCTAGAAATTCTGCATTAATGTTTTACATTTTGTTATATTTTCGGTCTAAAATACAAACATTGGGCTGGGGTTGTAGCTGAGTGATAGAGCATATACCTAAGATTTTGGGTTCAATCCTCAGCACCAATTAATTAATTAATTAAAATAAAATGTATTATCCTCGTGTCTATCCCCTCCTAGGGAAACCTAAGATAGTTGTAAATCAAGAGTTCAGATGCAAAATGTGATGCTGAACATGATCATTCTGTGTCAAAAGTAATTTTTTTAGGACTGGGGATATAGCTGAGTTGGTAGAGTGCTTGCTTCATTTGCATCAATCCCCAGCACCACAAAAGAAAGAAAAAATGTTATTCCTTTAGCCAAACATAGATCTACGTAGCCTGTGTTTTACCAGATACCAAATTTCCTTTAATAATTAAGACTGTTTAGAACCAAAAATGGCTCTAGAACATGGAGCCAACCAGAAACGCAGAGCCCATCTGGCTGACCCTCACAATGCCTGGTTCTCACACCTCTCCGTTAAAAATTCTGGGTGCTGATGGTTTGAAAACCATGCAAACAGTAACCACAGCGCCTTACAGAAAAGAGCCAGAGAGCCCCCAAACACATCCTGCATAAATTCAGGAACACTGCCTCTTCTGACAAGCGGAAAGAGCCTGCGTGCACGGAGCGTCCGGGACTGGTCTCTGTGTTGGCAGATGGTCTGGGAGCTCAGCACTGAATGCCCGGCAGAGGCAAAAGGCGTCACTTTTGAAGACCAGTCAAGATCTCTGGTCCCTCAACATTAGAATCTGTTAGGACACAGGGTACAGGGGTGAAGCAGGGGAGAAGGGGAGGACAATGGGATGTTCGTAGCTCGACACAATCCCTCCGATCCTTAGGTGGAAAACCCTCTGTTGAGGCCCAGTTCCCCCTGCGCAGGTCTTGGGGTCTGACGTAACAGAGCCGGGCCTTGGAGGCAAGGGTCCCAGGTACCTGGTTTTCTACGGATGACTCCAGAGGCGTCTCTGACTTGGTGCTGTCGCTCTTCTCTACCTCTGGTTTTTCTTTAAATTGCTCATTCTTGGCTGCTGTCTCCTTCCCTTTCTCTTTCCCCTTTGACACTTCTTTCTTTCTCTCCTCTTTTCCTTTCACCTTAATTTTCTCCTTCGCCACTTCCTTAGTCTTCCCTTTCTTCACATTCTCCATTTCCACCGCTCCTGTTTGCTTTCTTTCCTCTGCGCGCCCGCGCGCAGGAGTTGCAGCCTCGGGTCCGGGCAGGTGTGGCCTCCTCGCCGGGCGCAGGGCGGAGACGTAGGTCCACAGGGCGTAGGCCACACCCGTGGTCACCACGGCCGCAGCTATTCCCAGTGCGTACAGCCTGAGGTCTGGCATTTCGCACTAGCTCGCTTGTCCAGGGCGACTGGCAGTTGATTCGCCGAACCCGGGGGTGAGGAGGAGGAGGGACCCCAAATGGAGTTGAAATGGGCGGGGGGTTCTAGCGGGTGGATCGAGCCCAGCCCAGAAGAACCCAGAGGTCCCAACCAAGAGTTGGGAGAGCGACGGGCTTGGCTTATTATCACCGCTGCCGGAAAAAACGTACCTAGGCGTCACCAGCTCTTGAGGGAAACGCCTTTCACCTAAGCAGGGTCCAGAGCGACCTTAGCCTCCGACCTCTCCAGCTTCAAACCCCGAGCCTGCTCTGCCAAGCTGGCGTCCTCAACCCGCAGAACGCCTACAGCGCCGGCGTCCTCCTTCGGCTCACAACCAAAGCCAAGCTAAGTTGTGTATCTCCCCTCCACATGCAAGTAAACGCCACTTAGCCACGTCTAAAGGGTTATTGCTTAAGGACAGAGTAATGTCTTAAATTCTAGTTTCAGGGCTGGGGATATAGCTCAGTTGGTAGTGTGCTTGCCTCCCTACGCACAAGGCCCTGGGTTCAAACCCAGCACCACACCAAAAAACAAAACAAAACAAAACAAAAAACCCAACAACCACACACTTATTTATTTATTTATATGTAAAATTTCCGAAGATTAAGTACCCCGCCAGGATTCTGGCTGCTAACAAAGTATAGGTTAGCAAAACCTGAACTAGGCAAAACAGTATAATTTACCCCAGCCCAGGATAGAGTATGTAGTAAATTTGGCATCCAATGCAACTTTCAGAGGTGAAATGGGGGCTGTAGGGCAATTGCCTGTTATGTAGGAGGCCTTGGATTCCACCCCCTAGCACTGTCAATTAATTAAAAGTATAGTTTATACATGCAATAAACTGATTTTTCTTCATCCGATCTATTTCAGATAAGCTTGTAAGGAACAATGAATAGCAGGTTTCACAAGCCTTGAGCAATGCAGTGGTTTTGGTTGTTGTTGTTAATATTTTGTAGTTGTAGTTAGACACCATATTTTTATTTATTTATTTTTATGTCGTGCTGATGATCGAACCCAGGGCCCAGTACTTTCTAGGTGAGCCCTCTGCTGCTGAGCCACAACCCCAGCCAGATGCAGTGGTTTTTAAGGTTAGCTGTTCAGAGTTTTATTAAAAAGACTGATTAAAAACCTTTAAATGCTGTTTTGTTTATACCCATGTCAACATGATATATTTTCAGCGGAGTTTAAAGTGGGTTCCTGCAATCCCATTAGATTGGCTTTCTGGCTCTGCTGGAAGGGGAAGGAGACAATTTTAGATAGTTTGAAAGAAAATTCTTAGATGTACTTACCAAGAAGTCCTCCCCAAAATGCCAACACTCAAAACACAATTATCCATAGTCACTGCTAGAATATTTTATTTTAAAATGTGCCATAGTGAATGGATGTATCCACACTGGTTTTTATAAATGTACACATACAACATGTATATACAAAGTATATATGTCACTGGTTAAAGCCCTGTCCAAAAGAGGAAATAATTGATGGTGTTAACACTTCATTTGACAATAACTTATTTGTTTGAACTGAAATTTCAGTTGCTTAGCAATGACTAATACCAATGGCTGCCAAAAACAATGACTAAATAGAGAACTGTAAATTTCACTGTTGTGCCTTAGGTCAAAATTTTCAAAGATGGATAATTTTCACCAAGATTCTGTTGCTTAGTTAACCTAAAAAATTATTATCTTTAACCATAGAAATTTAATGGAACTCTAAATAACAGATTTACTAACAATCATTCCTATACTGCAGTATATATTCAGAAGGAATAAATATTTGTCACTCTTACCAAGAGACTGTTCTCTGTTTAGCTCAAAAGTATAACATAATAAATCATTCTTATTTTAAGACCTCATGTTTAGATGCCACTGCAGATTCTGATTATGTTAAACAGAAAGGCAGCACCCCATTTCTTATTTTAAAGATGGAAAGCCTTTTTAGAAACCCTTTGAAGAAGTTTCAGTAGATGTGTTCAGAATCTAACACAGCAGCACTTTATTAACAAGGACAGAGTAATTTGATCACAAGGAAATACTCATAAGTCTTAAATAAATTATACTTGGGCAGCATAAAATGAATATTAAACAAGGGGAGGCACCGCAGTAACTGTCTCACAGCTGTTGAATGTGAAGGTGGCTTGTGAACAAGGAAAGACAAGAACAACATTCACACCACAAACTGATTGTAAAATACTTCATTACTTAGAGAAAGGTAATGAAAGGTCAAAACCCATAAGGAAAGAGAAGCCATTAGAGTATCTATTAATTGGGCCAAACAGTCCTGTTAGATCTTAATACTGCTTGGTATTGATTTCCTGTCTATGTAATGAAGTCAATGTTTTATGTTCTTGATAGGGGCTATCAATCTTTCTGATTAAGAAAGTCCAAACCCATCTGACCTCATAACACTAGGTCAAAGAGTCAACTTCTTACAACATTGATATATTTTGAGATATTGAATGGTGCTAAATCAACATTAACATAATCTGAGAATGAAAATGATAAGGGGCACAAAGGAACCATATACACATATGAATAATATTCCATATTCCAGTATCACATGACAGAATTTATGGTCAAAATTATTTAAAACATTTACTTTAGTCTTTTTGTGGTCATTTAATTAAGTGAAGAACACTAGTGTTTTGGTAAGGTTCCTTCTTATCACATGATATTTTTAACTCAATACTTAGAATGTTCAGAAGATTCCACTTTCAGCCTCCTAGGGCCATGTAAGACATAATTTAAAGTGGGACCTAAAATAGCAACAAGTGTCTTCAGACTCTAGTAGAAACGGTTTCTGTTTAAATCCTGGGAGACCTTAGGTAACATGCCTTATTTGTGAAATGGAAAAAAGATCAAATCAGCACACAAAGATAAAGGGTGCAACAGATATCAAAGTGGTGTATGCCTGATCATTTCCAGTCCTCATAATCTGTGCAAACATAGGCAGTTCAAATGACCAAACCTGACTAGGCAGTTTGAGAAAGGTGTTTTCCTATTTGATGCACAAGAAATTATTTTATGAAAATACATGGATATAAGAGGGAGCAGTTCTGTGCTTCTTGCTGTGTTACCTTTATTATGTTCCTAGCATATCACTGAGGCTATTTAAAAACAGCCTGCAACAAGGACATTCTATCACCAGCCACCTTTTCCTCCTTTCTTCTTTTTCTGTTGCTGTTTCTTTTTTGTTGCCGGGGCCCCTGCAGGTTTTTGGTGTCTTGGGGGTATGATGTTACTTGTGGAGGCAGAGACTGTTGCTGCACTGCCAGGTCTTGGAGAGGTGGGTGGGCTGCTCACAGTTTTACTGGCATCCCTGAAATCATCAGACCAGAAATATTTTGGTCATTCATAAATTCAACAAAGAAAAAGGGTATATACAAGTGTTCTTTCCATATCTAACAATTTTCCACTTTGTTTAAGGTACGTCTCTGATTCCTCACGCTTTTTCTTTCGTTTCTTTTTTTTTAGCAGTACTAGGGATTGAACCTAGGGATGCTCTACGTATCTAACCTATTGGAACAGGTTCTCACTAAACAGTCCAGGCTGGCTTAAACTTGGAATTCTCTGGCTCAGCCTCCCAAGTAGCTGGGATTAACCACACCTGGCTTTCGCCATTCTTTGAACAAAATTTTTACTGTTTGTAACTAAAAAACTATATATCATTCATGCCCATTTTTAGAAAACTTAAAGAAGATTTAAAAAATTATTCTGGGCATGGTGGCACATGCCTGTAATCCCAGTAGCTTGGGAAGCTGAGGTAGTAGGATCGAGAGTTCAAAGCCAGCCCAAGCAACAGCAAGGTGCTAAGCAACTCAGTGAGCCCCTGTCTCCAAATAAAATAGAAAATAGAGCTGGGGATGGGGCTCAGTGGTTGAGTGCCCCTGAGTTCAATCGCCAGTACCAAAAAAAAAAAAAAAAGATAAAAAAATTAAGTGACTTATAATTCTATGTATAAATAACATTTTAATATTTTTAGTTTATTTATTAATGTTTACATAGTTAAAAGACTCAGTATGGTTTCCTTTTCTTTTTCAAACAAAAAATATTTAATTTTATAATATAATCAAAATTTTAGTATTTGCAACATATTCAAAGCAGAACTATATTTCTCTCTTGTATACTGCAAACATATATGATCGTATACTTCTCATACTTAAAATATATTAACAAACTCTCACTAATATCCTTAAATCATTCTCAGAAACAATCTATGTTCTAAGCGAGTTCTATTATGAAGCCATGACTTACAGTTCAGATGAGGCCCCTGCAGTTGCTCCCTGGGTCCCTTTTCCAATTTGATCCTTCTTTTTACCCTTCTTTCTTCCTCGATAGTAAGAACGTTCTCTCATTGGTAGCCATCTTTCTGGATCTGGGGTAACTTTTGGGTCATAATTCTTAGGCAGTTTTCCTGTTTAACAAAAGTAATAAAGAAATGAGGGATATGCCCCTAAAAGTTTCAAGATAGCTTGTTTACACAGTGTATCTATGCCTGGGAGTAAATAACACTATAACAGAAATTAGTTTGAGAAAGTTTTATTTGTAATAATCTAACTAGGAAAAGGCCTCATTTCTAAGCATAATAAAGATTTAGAGGCTAAAGATATCACAGCTTTATCTGTATAAAATTTTAAAGTTTGACAAAATACATTTTTAAGAAAAATAGCAAAAACCTTATATTCTATAAAACAGAGTATATTGATATCCTTAATATAGAAAGATTCCTTACTAATCAATATGCAAATCATTCAAGAAAAAAAAATAGGCAGTTATCATTAGGGTAAGCCAGAGAAAGTGAAAGTCATTAATCATGTAGAGAGATGCTCAATCTTACTAATTAAAAATGGGAAGGGTAGCTTTTTCGCCTCAGCTGCCGACATCCCATCCAGACTGAGGAAGACGTGGAAACTTTTAGGACACGTGAACCATGGCCATTGCCTTATCGGCAAGCACCAGAAACACTCAGGAGGCCAGGGTAATGCTGGTGGCATACATCACCACAAGATTAACTTCGACAAATATCACCCAGGTTACTTTGGGAAAGTTGGTATGAGGCATTACCACTTAAAGAGGAACCAGAGTTTCTGCCCAACTGTCAACCTTGATAAATTGTGGACAATGGTCAGTGAACAGACATGAGTAAATGCTGCCA